ATAGGAACCACCTTTGGTGGGAAGGGAACAGCGTTCCGTGTGCTTTCGGCGTTGAGTCATGCCGGCCACATGACCACGGAGACGTCTTCGGACAGGACTGGCTCTTCGGCTTTGAAACAGAGTTGAGCACCGCCCTCTAGAGTCAGGAACGACTAGCACATATGTGCGAGGGGAACCTTTATCTTTAAACGTCTGGCAGGGCACCAGTCACGATAAAATCTATACTCTGAAAAGAATGGGGAACTTATATATTTTGTATTCCAGGCTGCTGGTATGGTGTGACTGATCAAAGAACGGGGCCATGGGAGGGAATGCTCTCTGCTAGTGCTCCACATCATAACATGGTCAATTTATGTCAATAAGAAACGGGCCTCTGTTATCCTTTTATTATTTAAAGTGTTTGCATACCATCCGTTATGCAACAGATATTACGACATCGGAGGAATAACTCAAATATATCATAAAAGTCATGCCATTAATAAAACGAGGCAGCAAGGAGAGGCGGGCGGCAGGAGAAGACATTTTTCAAATTAAAGAGCCTGGGAAGATAAACACTGTTTTAAACCAGAATATTTAAAGAGAGAATTCTAATGAAGGCCCCGAAGACCCTTCCCTCCCTCACTTTAAGCCAGGGGTGTCAAACTCGATTTCACCGAGGGCCGCATCAGGATTGTGTTTGACCTCAGGAGGTCAGCGTGGGTATGGCTGGGCTGGGCGTTGCCAGCTCAACGTTACTCGTGTCGGTGTGTGTGTGTGTGCTGTGGCAGCCCAAGCCCTTTGCCAGCAAAAACAGGCTCCCGAGCTCCGTTTTTGACTGCGACGGCCTCCTGCAACCCTCCGCCAGCAAAAGCAGAGCTCGGGAAGGTCGCCCATGGCCCTTCCAAGCTCCATTTTCACTTGTAGAGGCACCACAGGCTAGACTTGAGAGACCGCCTACTGCCAATTACCTCCACTAGNCTATGAGTGTTCTTCGAGTCTACATGAGAGTAAATGAGTTACCATATACTGTGAACTTGCACAATCATGCACAATCATGATTGGTCCACATTGACTATGTGAATCCACCCCTCCCTTGTGTATGCTCAATAAAAAGGACCCCCAGACTTCGTTCTGGGTCAGTTCGTCCCGAAGGGAATTCGTGTCCGAGTGTTCCTTCCACATTGGCTTCATGAACCACCCGCGGAGAAATCGCACAGATCCTGAAGATGAAACTCAAATACTTTGGCCACCTAATGAGAAGGAAGGACTCCCTGGAAAAGAGCCTGATGCTGGGAAAGATTGAGGGCAAAAGAAGAAGGGGACAACAGAGAATGAAGTGGCTGCACGGAGTCACGGAAGCAGTCGGCATGAGCTTAAATGGACTCCGGGGGATGGTAGAGGACAAGAAGGCATGGAGAAATGTCATCCATGGGGTTGCAATGGGTCAGACATGACTTCGCAACCAACAACAACTTTATTCTAGCTGGGCAACTGAAGCACAGAATATCAAACTAAGGAAGTCCACCTTGCAATTCTTCCCAGCTGAATTCTTTCTTGTTTCACACAGAATCCTGTGAAGACTGAAGACTCTACTATCTGTACCTACAATACACAACCAGTCTTTGACTGACAATCCTTCATTTAGTGGCCAGCCAAGTTACAATGGTGCTGGAAAAAAAATGGTCCCAGCACTGATGACTGTTGCAGCATTTCCACGGTCACATGACCAAAATTCAGGTGCTTAGCAACTGACATGGATTTATGACAGTTGCAGCACGCTGGGGTCACATGATCATTTGCAACCTTCCCAGCCATCTTGCTACAAACAAAGTCAATGAGAAAGCTGGATTCACTTAAGGACAGTGTGATTCATTGAACAACTGCTTAGAATTTGGTAAGAAAAGGTTGTAAAATCGGTCGTGGCTCACTTAACCCACCACCTTTCTTAGCAACGGAAATTCTGCTCCCAATTGTGGTTGTAACGTCGAGGAGTTCTGTGAGCTGTTAGGGAGGGGCTGTCCTCGCCCTCTTTCTCTCACACGTGATATCTGAGCTGAGCTGTCTCTTGACTCCTCCGGAATGCAGCCCCTCCCTCCTAGGAGTCTGCATTCCACCGGAGACAGAAGATGCTCCTTGCTGGGAGATGGCAGCTACCTTACCTGTGACCTGTGGCGCCTTGGCCACCGCACTGTTGAGGAAGGGCTCCTTGTTGGCAAAGGGCAGGATGGGCTCATCAGCCACGCTTAGCCCGGACCCTGCAGGGTGCTCCCGTCCACTAGGCTCCTGGGGAGAGGGGAAGCCATTCTCATGCTTGCCGGACTGCAGGCCATTCACCAGGGCCAGGGTGGGGTTGATGGGGGAGCTGCAGCGGAAAGAAGAGGTGGGCAGGAATATGAAGTCATGGCATCACAAGCTCAAGGAGGCGGGAAAGAATATTGGGGACGAATCTGGGATATTCAAAGAAATTAGCAGCATAATGACATTTGGAGCATGGCAACAAATGATAAATTAACAACAGAAATCAAATTTAAAAAGGGGATGATCAAAGCAAACAATCATAATGAAATATGGGGGGATGATTTTATAAAATCAGTGTTGGTGTAAGGCAAAGGGAATAAAGCTGCTCAATAATATATGTTGTTTTGGAGGGGATAAGGGCCCAGTTGGAATATATTGTATATCTTTTAGTTGTTATAGACCAGGGGTCAGCAAACTGTGGCTCTGGAGCCGCATGTGGCTCTTTCGTCCCTCTGCTGTGGCTCCGTTGCTCAAATATGCATCACAACCATCAATGTGTGACACCCACTGGCACGTAATTTACTGAGCTTTTCGATCCCTGGTAGGCCAACTAGAGATAAATCCAAGAAAAGAAAAGTTTCAGAAGAAAACAGAATGTTTAATTCAACTACATATGCTAGTTTTGTGGCCGCTCAGAAAATAGTCAGGCATGGGAAGGATTTTGTGGCTCCCAGTGTTTTCTTTTCTGTGGGAAACGGGTCCAAATGGCTCTTTGAGTGTTTAAGGTTGCCGACCCCTGATATAAACTGAGAGCAAATCTCACTCCTTACTAGTACTGATGATGTTATCTAGTTGGGCAATGAAACATCTGCAAGGAAACAAGCCACCTCAGAGAGCACCAAGGACCCCTCATTCAAGTGCAAAATATCACTTCCACACTACCAGCTTCTCACAGTGTAACTTGACATTTTCCATCAAATGGGAAATAATTAAAAGTCCCTTCCAAATTAAATGAAGGCCCCCAAATCTAATTCTATAATTCCATGATTCTGTGATTCCATAAAATATGAGTTATGATCTTATCATTCTCAGTTTTGTAATTTTAATCAAAAATTAGACATTAGTTTCTGTACCATGGGTCATATCATGACAATAGCTTTAAGACGCTGAGCTTGTCGATCAGAAAGGTTGGCAGTTCGGTGGTTTGAATCCCTAGTGCTCTGTAACAGAGTGAGCTCCCATTACTTGTCCCAGCTTCTGCCAACTGAGCAGTTCGAAAGCATGTAAAAATGGAAGTAGAAAAAAAGGTACCAACTTTGCTGGGAAGGTAACAGCGTTCTGTGTACCTTCGACGTTTAGTCATGCCGGCCACATGACCACAGAGACGTTTTCAGACAGCGCTGGCTCTTAG